TCAATCAAAACAAGTTTCCTTGAGACTTGACCCAATTTCGTTTTCCTTTTTTTAATTAACTGCACCAGCTTAGCTTCTAAAGCCTCTTCTGTAGGTCTTATTGTTCTTTTTGGTCTGACGTCAGCATTTTCCACAGGTACTTCACGTTCATTCACGTTTGGGTCCATAGGAGTTTCATTCGTTTCCACATTTTCCTTTTCAGCCATGTTTATGCTTTATTGTCGTTGAACATCCACGTGTAAATAGCTGTCCTTATTTTAATGTTGCGCTATGTTGTTGTGCGGCTTGGATCCGCGGCAGTAAGTCAGATAGACAAACTTATTAAAGCGCTTTTCAAGATACCCTCCTTGAGTTACGTTCCACACTTTATTCATAAGCAAATTTGTTCCACTTCCAGCATTAGACTATAATGTATTGCAACATCCACAACATGCAGCACAAGCCTTTTTCCACAGAAATCCACGTTGTCACAATCTAGAAAGTCAATGCGGTCCTTCCGTGTTCACTAATGTTCACATTAACTCAAATAAAATAATAAACAACTTGGGTATTCTTTCTTTCTTAATACTGCTTATATAACTTCATAACTTAACCTGTTAAGCCCGAGAGACCCCGGTACCGGGGCACTGCCGCAACATCTTGCAGGAAACAGTGTCTGAGGGCATGTTCATTCAATAAACTATGAATGTTTTATATCCATGTCACGGGAAGAAACTCATCTAACTGATCCTTTTTTATTTATCTCTTCTCCACATCGATTCACATCGTGAGGTGACACAGAATCGAAAGGTACCCTCATTATCACTGAATTATACGAATTTGCGACGTTATAAACAAAAACAGACATCAAAACGGGTGACGCTAGGTAGCTAAAAATGCTAACATTTTTACCTTGGCTCTAGTCTCTCCAAAGTGGTCTTCAATGGCATTAAAACGATAAAAACGCTGCTGAAGTTAATCCATAGGTTAATCCAATGTGTCTGTGTCCCTTTGAAATGATTTCTGATAATCCATAAGCAATAAAACTGCTTTTCCGTTTCCAGATGTCAGAGCAAGAGATAGGTTCGCTCTGATGCAAAACTGCATGCGCGAAGCCCCCACCTTTTTTTTCACAATGAGTGTGTGTGGGGGACTCCCCCTTCGATTATATTGGCTCTAACGGTCAGAAAGAGGTGTCAACCATCAAAATCGAGCAAGGGAAGCCAGGGATATGGAAAATCCACCCAAATGACCCCAGAAGTGGTTTCTTTTTGCTAAATCTCTCTAAAAAAAGTCAAATGTCACTTGTTTTGCATCAATCTTGATACAGGGTACTTATTATATGTTGTACTTTGGATTCCTAAAGCTTTTAGTCTGCCTTACCATCATCCAAGGGTAGTTTTCACTATAAGTAAAAAAGAATTTTTGGACGGACACTATCATTAACAGTTTTTTACTATGTAAAATCTGAATTTTCTTTCAAATAAAAAAACATCTATATTGATTCTGACTTTTCTACATCCAACTCACAGGTTTATCATTACTTTGAGAAAAAAGATTATTAATGTAACCCTTTTAGAAGGGAAGATATGGTCATTTGTTCTGGGAATGTCATTTTCTAGCCTGAGACCTGAAAAACAGGCTCAGGGCTTAACAGGTTAAGGGTACTTGTGCGATTTGTACGTGTAGGGTTAAAAACTGTTCCTCGACGGCATCTCTCAAACAGGTTGCCCATCACTGTGGCTTTAGCGCAGGCACCGTGGGAATTGTAGTCCTTTATAATGTGTTGACTACAGACGTCACAATTAGGTGGCCTTTCTTATAAAATCAAAATACTGGCTCTAACACCTGTTTTTCAGGCCTCAGGCTCGAAAAATGACATTCCCAGAACAAATGACTATAACTTCGCTTCTAAAAGGGGTAAATTAATAATCTTTTTTCTCAAAGCAATGATAAACCTGTAAGTTGGATGTAGAATAGTGAGAATCAATATAGATTTTTTTTTTATTTGAAAGTAAATTCAGATTGAACAGAGTAAAAAAAATAAAAATTATAGGGTCCGTCCAAAAAAAAAAACATTACTTATAATGAAAACCACCCTTGAATGATGGGATCGGAGACTAAAAGCTTTAGGAATCCAAACTATAACATATAAGTACCCTGTATCAAGATCGATGCAAAACAAGTGACATTTTACCTTCTTCGAGAGGTTTAGCAACAAAAAAACCCACTTCTGGGGTCATTTGGGTGGCTTTTCCATATCTCTGGCCCCCCTCGGTCAATTTTGATGATTGAAACCTCTTTTTAACCGTTAAGGCCCGGACACAACAAGCCAATTTTGGCCGTCGATGAGCGTCGACACACCCTACTCAGATTGGTGTGTACCGCACCGTCGTATCTTTTCAGCCGTGCCGACACCTTTTCGGCCGAAAACAGTAGTCTTTGGCAGTCGGCCAAAGGCTGTCGGCAAAATAAATCACTCTGATTGGCTGTTCAGCTAGCGAATCAGTGCATGAGAAGCGAAACGGAAGTGAGGGACCCAAACAAACTATTAAGAAGGCAAATCTGAGATTTCATTTAACTCCAGCTCTCGACACAGGTTCGGGAAAGCCCCATGAGCTTCTCGTTGTTGAGTGAAAATGGAACGCACACGCTATTTGTTGTTTGTTCAATAATCCATCACTATATTTATGTCAATAACGGAGTTTTCACATTAGCTGCTACGAGAGTGTATGACAGCTTCCGGTTTTGGGCATTCTGGCTACGCATCACTCATTCACCAATGAGTAATGTTTAGATGGATTTTAGGAACTTCCCCTCGATTCTATTGGCTCTAAAGGCCCGGACACACTAAGCTGACACAAAAGAACTGACACAGATGGACCCCCGACTGTTGTGTCGCCTCGCGTCTCTGCGTCTTGGCCATGTGTCGCACTGGAACACACCGCAAAGACTTCAGCCGAATGCCAAGAAGCACGTACGAACTGCGCATGCGTGAGTGGCAATAACTCTCCTTACCAGCAGGCGGCGCTAGTGTGTATTCGTAAAGCTACGTGGTGTGATGTCTGGGTTTGCTTACCCTGGTGCAAGTTTTGATCGCTCAGTGATGATACTTGTATTTCTAGAATCTGTGGAATCTCAGCTTGCTAGCTGATATATTGTTTGCAGATCTGAGTAATAAGGTAATATTTTACCGTGAGTTCTTTGCTAAGTGCATTAGCATTTTTTCTCTCAGGGCTAATTCAGAGCCTTTGTATTACCCTTGTGTTTCGTTTAGCTAACAATGGTTAATATTGTCTGATAGCTGAGTTTCTTCCCGTTAAGTGGGTATGACACATTCATAGTTTGTTAAAGGTCCCATGTCATGGCCATTTCTACTGATCATAATTCCATTGTTGAGGTCTACTAAAATAGATTTACAATTTTCCAAACTCACATTGGTATCTCATACAGCATCTCTGTATAGTATGTGTATTCACTCTCTGTCCTACACGGCTTGTTGGAGCTCCTGCCCCCCCCCCCCTCCCTGCGAGTCCACTGTGCTCTGATTGGTCAGCTCGCCCACTCTGTTCTGATGAGTCAACCACCGTTACAGCGGAACATCAGTGATTATGTGTTACAATGGCGTTAGTTAGCAACCAGAAAATGACACCAGTAATGACAAACAGATTAGAATGCTGCGTGGGGTCTGGGTGCCGTGTTGGAGGGACGTTGCTGCTGCTCACACAGACTAACAGCCTCGCCGCGTCCCGCCGTCTCAGGCTGAAAAAAGATTGTGTGTGTGAGGAAGTCCATTGGTCAATTTGGACCAATCCGCGGACATAACGGCTCCCTTGAGTCCATTTTGGTCGTCGTTACGTCACTTGGTACCAGGAAGAAAAAGAGAAATCTCCAACGAGGCGTTCTGGGGCAGCATAGACAGGCCTTTTCTGTGTTAGAGTTGTACTCGCTACAGGGTGTACTTTGAGGGTTTGTGACTCTGCAGACCGTTTACATGCATAAAAAGCTACATAATACACAAGGGCATGGGTAATAACTGGAAAAGAATGACATGGGACCTTTAAATGTTAAGAAGCCCTCAGACGCTGTTTCTTGCAAGATGTTGCGTTTTGCCCCCACGAAAATGTCATTGCAGTATCATTACTTTTACATAAGAAGGTGCTGTACATTTTTCTGTTAATACTTTCGAACGTTTACTTAAATAAGGTTTGAATGCAAGATTTTAATTTGTAACGGAGTATTTTCATTCTGTAGGCATAGTGTATCTGAACAATGCCAAATACAATTCCTTGTTTACATTGCAGCTACTGCTAAACTGGAACTGGAAAGGGGCTGGGCTACAGAAGGTGAATTGAGACAACAAAAATACACAATAGGTGGGACTAAAAGATAATATGAAAGTAAAAACAAAGGCATTATTAGGGCTGCAAAATATCTCCCATTTTAATGGTGATCAGATTTTGAAATGCTAATACTTAACAGTTTTTTCTGACTGTGTGTTTCCTGTTACCTGCAGACGTCCAGCTACTGGTGGTGGTTAAAGAAGAGGTTCTCCCTGACCAGCAGGATTGGGGCACCAGTCTGGACCAGGAGGACCCAGAGCCCCCCCCACACATTAAGCAGGAACAGGAGGAACTCAGGATCAGTCAGGAGAGAGAGCAGCTTCAGGAGCTGGAGGAGGCTGATATCACCAAGTCCACTTTCACTCCTGACCCTGTGAAGAGTGAAGATGATGAAGAGAAACCTCAGTCCTCACAGCCTCATCAAAGACAAACTGAACACATGGAAACAGAAGCTGATGGAGATGACTGTCGAGGACCAGAACCAGCCAGGAACTCAGATCCAGAGAGCAGTTTACAACCAAAGACTGAGTACGCCACTGGAGACTCTTCTGAACCTGACACTGGAGACTCTTCTGAACCTCACATTGGAGACTCTTCTGAACCTGACACTGGAGACTCTTCTGAACCTGACACTGAAGACAGTGCTGATTGGAAGGAGACCAGAGAATCTGCTTCAGCCTCAAAATCACTGAAAAATAGACAAGAATCTCTCAGTGATTCAAGCCGTAGTGCTGTAAAGAAACAATTTGGCTGCTCTGTGTGTACAAAATATTTTGCATTAAGTCACACTTTAAAAAAACACATGAGAATCCACACAGGAGAGAAACCATACAGATGCTCAGTCTGTAAGAAAGCTTTTTCACAGAGTGGAGGTTTAAAGGAACACATGAGAATCCACACAGGAGAGAAACCATACAGATGCTCAGTCTGTAAGAAAGCTTGTTCACAGAGTGGAGGTTTAAAGGAACACATGAGAATCCACACAGGAGAGAAACCCTTTAGCTGCTCATTTTGTACCAAATCTTTTGCAGTTAGTGACAGTTTTAAAAAACACATGAGAATCCACACAGGAGAGAAACCATACAGATGCTCAGTCTGTAAGAAAGCTTTTTCACAGAGTGGACATTTAAAAAAACACATGAGAATCCACACAGGAGAGAAACCATACAGATGCTCAGTCTGTAAGATAGCTTTTGCACAGAATATACATTTAAAGGAACACATGACAATCCACACAGGAGAGAAACCCTTTAGCTGCTCGGTTTGTACCAAAGCTTTTTCACAGAGTGGAAATTTAAAGATACACATGAGAATCCACACAGGAGAGAAACCATACAGATGCTCAGTCTGTAAGGAAGCTTTTTCACAGAGTAGAGGTTTGAAGACACACATGAGAGTCCACACAGGAGAGTAAATATACAGCTGCAATGTTTGTGACAAAAGATTTAAATGACATGGTTATTTCAAAAGACACAAGTGTGTTGGTCATCAGTCCTCACAACTTAATGAAATTCAAACTGAGGATAACAGAGAGGCATAGCCTCCAATCAGCTGAACACATGGAAACAGAAGCTGATGGAGAGGACAATGAATAAGTCTTAAAGGGCCCATGTCATGGCCATTTCCGCTTATCATAATTCCATTGTTGAGGTCTACTAAAATAGATTTATACTGTGCAATTTTCCAAACTCACATTGGTTTCGCATACAGCATCTCTGTAAAGTATGTGTATTCACCGGTATTCACTCTCTGCCCTAAACGGCTTGTTTGAGCTCCTGCCCCCCCCCTCCCAGTGTGCTCCGATTGGTCAGCTCGGCCACTCTGTTCTGATTAGTCAACCACCAGAGAGGCTCCGCCCATGTCTAACACAGTGTTTTTTCGGCTCTGAGCGGAGCATCAGTTTTTGTATAAGCTAACCTATGTTTGCTAGTTGTTCAGTGTAATATGCCAACCTACTGTGAACAAAAGCTAGTGGTTCATATTAGGCTAGCAATAACGTGTTTACAATTGCAATCTTATACGGTAGTCTGCTACGTGTCGGTCATTCTTTTTAGCTTAGCTAGCTCTGTTCTTTCCACCACGCGGAACCTCCGCCTTGCAAACATTGCATCTGGCTGTTACACTGCCTTCGCTTTCAATTTTATAATACTTCCAAACTCCTGACATTTTCTCTGTCCCGACTCCCGAGGCACCAGCTGAACGTAGCCTCTTGTTAGCTTACTGCTACTATTAGACACTGCGCCCTGCCCACTCTGTTGCCAGATTTGAGAGAAATAAGCAACCAGGTCTTTGAAAACAAGCCCAAAAGAAGCAACACATACATGATGTTGTGTAATTTTAAACCAAAACTAAGGCCTCAGGATGACTTTAAGATGTGAACATGGTCATTTTTGTTTTGTAACATTAAATAAAATAATAAAAATATTTTATAAAAAAATATATATATTCCCGATCCCCGATTTTTTTCTCCCGATTCCGATCTTTTGAAAATCACGTGATCGGCTCCGATCCCCGATCACGTGATCGGATCGGGACATCTCTAATCCGGAGTATACTGTATATGAGTATTTCGTGTGTGAATGCAGACATTCTTGTGCTATGAGAAACATGTAAGGCCATCTGCTGACATTGTAGTTGATATATGTAAACGCTAGCAACTTCGTTAGCCCAGTTAGCACTGTGTCAATGGCTTGTTCTGTGTAATAAAACCACTATGAACAAAAGTTAGTGGTTCATATTAGGCTAGGAAGAACGTGTTTACAATTGCAATCTTATACGGGTAGTCTGCTACATTCGGTCATTCATTGTAGCTGGCATGAAAACAATGTTTTCACCTAGCATGTCTACCTCTCGGTAGCGTCGTTGTTTTTCTCGGTAGCATACACGCTATGAACAGTAGCTCGGTTAGGAGCGCCAACTATAATGTACTGACCGTAGGGTAAATCACCCGGAGTATACTGTCTATGAGTATTTTGTGTGTGAATGCAGACATTCTCCTGCTATGAGAAACATGTAAGGCCATCTGCTGACATTGTAGTTGATATATGTAAACGCTAGCAACTTCGTTAGCCCAGTTAGCACTGTTTTGAACTGAACCTGAGATTCCAACAGTATATATGCTTGGCTGGCAGAGGGTGCGTCATAGCTCTGGGCGTGGCTACTGGGTATCCAGACGTCACGGTGCCCAGGAAGAACATGAGAGATCTCCAACGAGGCGTTTTGGGGAGGTCTTTTCTGTGTTAGAGTTTTACTCCCTACAGGGTGTACTTTGAGGGTTTTTGACTCTGCAGACCGTTTACATGCATAAAAACCTTCATAACACACAAAGGGACGGGTAATAACCGGAAAAGCATGACATGGGCCCTTTAAGACAGCTCACACATGAGAAAAATCTGTCTGACTGGATTAACATTGTCGCACAACATTCATAAAATACTTAAGTGAACTCCATCTTTATCAACATAAGTGGACAATATGTTTAATGTTTTTGTCATACTGATTTTCTGATTCATACATTAACCACTGACTGTTGATGAACCATTTTATTTTGGATTGAGGGCTCCAAGCTTCCATATAGAGATATAGGATGATTTGATGTATTGTTCTTTATTTCTAAATGTTTGGTATCATTGCTATCCTGTTAATGAGCCCTGTTTTACATAAATGTACCTGTTATCTGATTGTTTTTGCTTCTGTAACTGTAAGGGAAGTAGGGCTGCACGATATATCGTGTCGTGAGGATAATCACGTGATGCGCATGCAGGACGATTTTTATTTAATTTAATTTATTTTTTAGGACGTGCGATAATAAGTCGGCAAATTAACTCAAACACGTCATATTACAATTATTTTGCTGCTTGTTACAAAAGGAAAACTCGCGCGGCTCTCATGTCAGGGGTACTTGAGTGAGTGACATGCAGGCTCTGCATGCACAGCAAACCACCAATCACAATCATTCTTGATCAGATCACAGCAGGATAACCGAACCTTCATCCGGTTAAATGTCGTTAAAAAAAGACCAATTGTATAGCATGAAAGTTCAAGAAAGGATAGCTTGCGGACAAAAACTGTCTTTTCTTCAATTCCTGTATTTTTTCATATCGCAATATATATCGCAGAGGAAAAAAATATTGCAATGTCAGTTTTTTCCAATATCGTGCAGCCCTAAAGGGAATACATTTGCCTATTTTGTATCCTGATGACCTAATGCCGTTACATGTAATACGTTACTCTCTAAGCCTGATTTCACCCACCTGCAACCGATTCGCTAATAATCACAAATGTTAATTTCTTTGACCCCTTGACTCGACTATTTCTTGTTTAATAATCGTTACATGTCCTCAGGACCAAGTTCCCGTTTCCTGCCTTTCACCTGCTGATCACCCACTGCTCATTTAAGGTGGACTGACCTTTACAATGGACCAGCTAGTCTTATGGCGCATTTCCACCACACGGTTGGCCTCCACCTCGCTCGGTACTGCTAGGCCTTGTTAGGGCCGGCTCCCTTCATGCTGCGCTTCCATTACAGTTTAGGAACTGGGGTAGTTACTATAGTAACGCAGTGTAGGCGGAGCCGTGACGTCATCTTCAATGAGAACCCCAGAAAAACAACACAGCCGTTAGCTGTTAGCACTCAAGCTCACAGCTCCTCATATCTGTTCAGAAACTAGACAAAAGTTAAACAAGTACAAACCACAGACTGTCTGTCATGGCGAATACAGTCGCTGGTTTATTTATGTCTGTATAGGCCGTTGTTGTGAGTGTGGACGGTCGGAGCATATATTGCGTTAGCTTAGCCAATCTCCATCTAGAAAACACGCATTTTAAAAGGTTTTTCGCCTGCCGTCTGTCTGCAGACTTGTCAAAGCATTAATTCATGGTTTTTACTAACCGGTATCAGTATGTTGTTACTTCGGCATCATTTTGAAACGTGTATTACAATTAAATCACGGTCAAATATGTTCATCTTGTTGTAGCCCCCTTGCCAGCGATTCTCTCTCTAGTTTAGCAAACTCAGCCCGACTCAGCCCTGTTTGTTGGCCCCGATAGAACCACGATTTTGTCGGGCCAGAAAAGAGGTGAAAAAGTAGCCCCGGGCCGGAACTAGGCCAAGTGGAAGCGCAACCAAAAACATCATCAGTGGTGAAGAGTAATGTTCCCAAATACCACTGTTCCCAGTTTCTGTCCCACTAACCAGTCCTTAAACACTACAGAGCCCAAACTGTGTTCCCTTTAGTGTTTACTTCCTGTTTACCTTCTCCTACTGTTCCTGTTAGTGTTTACTTCCGGTCTGTCTTCTGCTGTTCCCTTAAGTGTTAACTTCCTGTCTGTCTTCTTCTACTGTTCCCTTTAGTGTTTATTTCCTGTCTGTTATATAAAAATACTCATAGCAGAAATGTCACTGTCCTACACATCATTTGTTTACAATGGATATAATACAATTGGGCAATGGTAAACAAAATTAAAACACAGCATATGAAGTAGATATTAGGTTAAGTGAAGGTTAAAGGATTTTAATATTTGAAGGTTTACACTGACTTTTGCTTCTATTATTTTTGGGACAGAGTTAAAACAAAAAATGGTCCTGGAGTTTTAAAACCCAGAATGTGAATTAGCACTTAAATCTACTACATAGTTTATTTTTGAAAGACAAATTTAGCAAATGCACATGCTGTTAGATACTATATTGGCACAAGGCATTCAAAACATTCAATGTTTTCTTAAAGTCTGTGTCACTTTAAGGTACGATGCCAAAGGTGATTTCAAAACACGTTACCAATCATTTTTGAAATTCTACTCTGCAACGTCAAAATTGTAATGCCAATTCTCATGTCTTACCATTTTTCATGACTAATTATACCAATTAAGGCCTCATTTTAAGATGCCTTTTAAGGAAACCCTGAGTATAACCCGAGGGTGTAGGTGTGGGTAGTATTACAAGTATATATATTCACCTGTCTCATATCCCCAAAATAAAGGTTTCCCTCTGTGAAGTCCTTTCCGAGGGAAACGTTCAGCGTGACCTCTGCGTTGTCGTAGTGGTAGCTCAGGTCCCGGTCTTCGTCCATGTCGTATTTCACCACGAAGGCCTTGTGGCTGTCCAGGCTGCCCCCCCCACAGTCGGGGTAGAGCAGGGAGGTGAGCGGCTGCAGGTAACGCTGGCGGAGCGGCGTGATGAAGCCCTCGTCGAAGCCCAGTTCATTCAGCAGGATCTGGAGGACATTCATGAATAACACACTTTCAGACTAGAGGTAAGAAAGCAGCTAAAACGCAGGAGTTTATTTGACTAACTTTGTCTGTTTGGGTCTGTAGATTTCTCCTGAATTCACCAACAGTTAGGATCACATGAAGCCTCATTTGCATATTTAGACATGAAACGTCAGAAAACTTGTAAAAACTTGATTTGAATATGCAAACAAAATAAAACAATACTTTTTAACATGGATTTACCAAATGTTCACAATTCTGTTCTGGAATACTCCGTAAATAAAACATATTTGATAAGAAAATGCCTAATTTACACATATAAACATAATATTTCATAAAAGTTGTAATACAAAAAGTGAGAAAGTTTTATAGTGATATCTATTAGTTAAATATTTGACCCTATTCACATGTAG